GCAATCTTGCAACACTCATTGAGCTGAAGTGAAAGCCCCAAGTCAAAAGACCCATACATTAGGCATACCATCCTATGCCATGAAAGGCACCTCCATAGATAGATAGGAAAGCTGACAGTTCCACTAGTAGTGGTGGGGAAGGGGTCCCGTGCAAATACGTAGGCTTCACAGAGTTTATTCGAGGTCAGATTGTGCACAATCCCCTTCAATTTGATTGATGTGTGAAAAGTTGAAAACACACCTCCCACCTGCGAGGCTGCGGTCGAAATATTTGTCCAAGAACACAACCTGGTCACCTGCACATCCAGGTGCATTCTGACAGAGAAGGGACCTGGTCATCTTCACGTCCAGGTGCATTCTGACAGAGAGGGACCTGGTCATCCACACGTCCAGGTGCATTCTTACAGAAAGGTTTCCAGACAAGAAGCCAGAGGCATTCCATCATGAACACCTCCGTTGCACGACCATGATCACGGAAGCCACAGAGAACTCTCCCCCATCTCCCAACCCCCTGCTCAAGCCCAAGTGGATGATCCCTAACACGCCATCCGTCAAGCATCAAACAGAGACACGTTCGTTGGCATTGGTCTTGCCATTGCTCTCCCATTATGTCCACCTCTCAATCCTGCACCCCTGTTGAATCGCTTGGAGGGAAGGAAACAAACCTGTACGAGGACGCCTCTCCAAACCTGTACAAGGAGGAGGACTCTCTGCACTAACATAGAAATGCACATTAAAGACTACTTCCACGCCTGGCAATAACCAACTTCATGGGATGGTCGTACTTCCCTCCGGATCTGACCATCAGTGGTCACAGTGCCATTTAAACCACCAGTACTTCTGAGCCTCTCTCTCTACCGAGGCTCGAAACACCCTGCGAGGCTAAAAACAAATTGAATCAGCACGGGGCTCCTTTTGGCTAGTGCGTCGCCAGTCATCATTTCACTCCAGAACCCGACCATGGAAAGTTGCAGCGTGCATGGAGCGATGTCGGAGAAAAATGGCTTGGAGACGTACTGGTGGTTTAAGGCTTTAAGCAGACACCAAAACCATGGAAGCTCACAATCACCTGTTTAGCCGACAATTCATAACTGATGGCTTAATAATAGTTAATATATACTATATAATAATCTAGGCTACCAGAGTGGCCCGGGATCACTTGCCCGGCCGGGCCAAAAAAAAAACATTTAAAAAAATCAAAAAATTAAAAATAAAAAGCTGAGTACGGACGCCGCCCGGCCGGGCCTGCCCGGCCGGGCGGGGCGGGGTGGGTCGACCGGGCAAACCGGGCGGGCAAAAAAAAAACAGCCCAGATTTTTTTTTTTTTTTTTTTTTTCGGGGCCCCCAATCTGCAATAAAATTTTGGTTTGGGGGGGCTGTCTCTTTTACACATCTAGATGTGTATAAGAGACAGGAGGCATTCAGAATAGGGAGTTGGATCATCAATTATAGCTACTAATCCCCAAAATCATCAATGAGAATAGGGAGTTAGGTCGTCAATTATAGGTT